TAGGCACCTGGCAGGGCAGGTATGTGGGCTGGCAGTAGCGCACTGTGTTGTGTGGTCTGCCTCAGGGTGCTTCGTAGAGCTGCAGAGACGGCGGATACAAGTAGTGATATTAGTGTAAGCAGTAGTAGTGGTGTTGACGGTCACGTGATTAATGAAGGACATCCACTTTCTTAGGTTAGGATTTAACTTATAGAATAACGTATTATGATTATGTTGTGCTGGATCCACCATATCACCTGATGTGGAATCCACTTATTCATTATTGTATTATTATTTGTACAGCGTCCGTATTGAGATACGGCTCCACCTCTCATTTACCCCTTTCTTTCTCATCTTGCCCTTTTTCCTTCCCTTATAAATACTCTGTATAATAGCTTCTCAAACAATCAATCGATTCTCCATGACCTTCAGTACACCACACTCTTCAGCCCAACAGATTAGTCCGGGCCCGGATTTACTATTAGCTAGATAACCTGTGCCGATAATGGATATTATATCGATTATCGCTAAGAATCCGATATAATATCGTCAAAATATTTCCGATACGATAATTATCGGCGACCCCCCCCCCGATATCACATCGACATATCGGTGCCCAGGTCTGGGCCCTATTGTTAAAAATAAGCTTGACTAAGATAGTGTCAAGGATTTAAGTGCGACACGATACGGGGTGTCTACGTGAGTAGAAACCTTGTAGTCGTTTCAAAAGTTCTAAAGGGTAAGACCATCGAGATCTACGGTATGGCAAAAAAAGAAGAAAAGATATATCCCCTTTCCCCAAGTATAATATAAGCTCCAAGATCTCTATATAACAATATAAACACCTACTCTACTCTAGCTAATCACCTAGTCGAACCTAGAATCCAATCCAATCTAATCCCTCACACTTAATCATCTGCCCCATCCAAAACCTAAATCCTTTCCCCAAACTACCATTACCACCGACATATCACTTATTCATATCACTTATCCATCTCACCCCTCACTCCCCACCATTTCGACAATATCTTACCTACCATCTTATCTTCCAATAACATACCCCATATAGTCTTTACAATCCAATCCTCTAACCATTCACAAAACCTCGAATTTCAAATCTCGAACCCCGAACGGAAAACGGAAAAGGTAAGATCAGTGAGACAGGATAAGTATAGAAGATGGGAGATAGGAGGTGGAGAAATACTGTAAAACAAATAAAACTCAGGATAGAAGCTAAGTATCATAATACCGGTATGATTTTTGCATGAGATACCTAAGGAATGGGTATAGCTTATAGTACTCTATAGTACCTACCTAGCTAGCTCATAGGTTATTTGTTTACTTATTTGTATGGTGTATGATGTATATTTACCTAGGTATCTAGGTAGGTAGGTAGGTAGTTATATAACACACCGGAGCTCTACCTATCTGAATCTTTGAACACTGTAGGTAGTCTTTCAGGGAATGTAGTGGAAGTTGAATTGATTGTCTCAATTACCAGCGTACTGGGACATCGGATGTAATCAAGTAAACCATCTCCATCTATCTATTTTTACTGTAGTCCAGAGTATCGCTCAAGTACATCATCAATCCCGAACCCAAGCTCAATCACCCAAGCTCAATCCTCCCACCCATATCCATACAACCCACGCCCGCCCCCCGGCTATCTAACATAGCTATACTGAAACAACAATACCAAAGAGAAAAAAAGGAAAGGAAAAAAACACCGAACACCACGCTCACAACTGACAAACTGACCGATTTATCCCTGAAGAATACTGTACTGTATGCGTAATATATCCATGCCGTATACATACCGTATATATATTCCAACCTTCCCCTTTCCACAGCCAACCAAAGGATATCATATCTCAACCAACCAACCTAACCCATGCAAACAAAACAACACAAACATCCCAGCACGGGAAAAGACAAGGACACCAGAACAAGGCCCTCCTACCCCACAGCATCATTAACAATATCCCTCAACACCCCCTGCATGGGCATCTTATACGGCTTCATCCCAACAACACTCTTCCTCGGAACCCTCTTCCCACACGCCCTCCCATTTTCATTTTCCCCGTCCTCCCCAAGACCACCACCACCCACCTTCCTCTTCATCCCTCCCTGTTCCAAAGATCTCAACTGCGTCGCACCTACCCGACTACAAGCCGTCCCACTAACCTGCGTCGCGCCCACCTCAAAGTAATGCTCCGTCATCGCCTCAGGGGGAACATCAAAAATCCACCCCCATCCATCCATTAACCCCACAAACCGATGGATCATCTCCTCCTCCCCTCCTCCCCTGCCAGAAAGCGTCTCCCTCGAGCCAACAACCAACAACTTCGTCTTCGCGCGGGTGAGAGCGACATTAACCCGTCTCCAATCCTTCAGGAGCTCACCAATGGAACCCGCTTCATTGCTGCGCACCAGACTAAGGATGATAACCTCCTTGTCACGCCCTTGGAAGCGGTCAGCGGTATGCATCTCTACATCCTTGTGGTGTCTCAAGGAGTCCTTGAGGAGCGCGAGCTGAGAGCGGTAGTGTGTCATTACGCCGATAGACTCCGCGGGGACGCCGACGGTGAGGAGGGCTTCGACGAGTTGGGTGCAGAGGGATGCTTCAGTTTGGTTGACGATGCGGTTTCCGCGTGCTTGTTCACGGGATGCGGGGAGGAGGGGGTCGGTGTTGAGGAAGCGGACTTTGGCGCGGGGGTCGAGCATTTGGCGGAGCCAGCATGAATTCGTGTTTGCGGACCGACAGAAGGATTTCTGGGTGTGGGAGAGGGTTGCGGGCGTGAAGTGGTGGGCTTTGAGGCCGTCGGTCAGGTTGGGGATGGTGAGTTGGCGTTGAGCGACGGTGTTGCTGCCGCATTTTAGACGCCCGTTGTAGATTAGGTTGTTGCTCAAGGCCATGACGTCTTCGCACATGCGGTATTGGTGTTCGAGGTAGACGACGGAGCTGGGGTGGGTGTCGGAGAGGTGTTTGAAGAGACTGATATCCAGACCACCCAGACGAGCTTCTTCGTTTTGGACGAGTGGTGGGAGTTGGTTGTGGTCACCGACGAGGATGAAGGTTTTGGCGAGGCGAATAGGTCCTAGACAGACGGGAAGAGTGATTTGAGATGCTTCGTCTACGATGCAGTAGTCGAATGTTCTTTCGGTGAAGATGGCGTGGTTGATACCCAGGCAGGTGGTTGCTACAATAGGGGCATCGTGCCAGGCGCTTTTGATCTCATCAAAAGTCTTCTTGGGCGTCGCTGCGAGAGTTGAGAATTCGCGTACATCCGGATGGACCTTCGCAGACGTGCCCAGGCGCAGGATGCCCATATGGTCATCTTTCAGTTTCAACAGGATGTTATCCACTGCAGTGTGCGTATACGAGGTAAGTAAAACACTCTTTCCTTGCAAGACGAGGGCTCTGATGATATGTGCAATCGTTGTCGTTTTTCCGGTACCCGGCATTCCAAGTACCAAAGCATAATCCTCAGCACTCATGACCTTTTCAATGGCTTTTCTCTGGTCGCCGTTGATAGCATCGCCTTCCTTCAGCGTATAAGCAGTCGACTTGTTCTTGAATCTAGGCGCATTGAGATCAACAACCAATCCACGAATATGACGAGAACCGATAGGGCCATCAGCCATGACCTGAATGAGATTATTTCGCACGGTAGCTATTCCATTGCTGAATTCATCCTTGTCGAGGCGATATCGAATTGGCTCTTCCTCTGATTTCCCTTCCATCAACTGAGTTGGAGATACTCCAACTTGCATGATGCTAGTAAATACCTGATTATTCGTTTCATCAAACCCAACCTGACGGATGCGCGCATTATGTAGACGACGGTCAACGGCAACCGTGATCCTATCTTTCTGTACCTTGGTGACATACCCATTCGCAAGCGCAAAGTGACCCTTCTCATCCGAAATAACAATCGGTTCTCCCACAATAATTTGCGACGCGAGGAAAGAAAAATCAGCAGACACCTCTGGCTTCATGAGAGTGTAGTTATACCGATTGATCTTGGCGTTGCCCAATTCTTCGTAGCCCGATCCAGGCTGAACAACAACATTTGAGAAACATCGTCCCAATTTCTCTCGTTCCGAACTAAGCATAGTCCATAATTCCCTTCGAAACTTGAGACTTTCTTTCTCTTCTTTCGTGAGAAGGTCATCCCATTTGAGGAAGAATTCCTTATGTTTGGGAGTCAGATGCTTTGCCACCTCATCAAATTTATCTTTCATGCCACTGGTCTCTCCATTTCCATCGTCGGCCAGTTTGTGATAAATGAAGCAAGGCACCTTTGCGTAACATCGACCACACATGTGCTCTTTCTTAAGCATAGGCGGTAATTGGGCGTCGCGTTCCCGAACAAAACAAGCCAGTTCGTTTCGTTGCATGATCATATGTCGTAACTCGTGCTGGATCTTGGGAATCCTTATCGTTTCGGAGGTCTCCATATAGTAAAGAATGCCATATGCAACTTCCATATCATAGCGGTCGCATAATAAAAGGTTGTAGAGGGCCGTCTGCGCTCGGTGAGAGGCGCTAGGGTTTTTGCCAGTCTTGACTTCGAAAGGAACAGTCAATGTCCGCTGCTTGTTGCCATCCTGCATTGTGACCTGAACGGTTGCATCAATATTACCTTTGAGACCGTACATTGGTGACCATACATGTTCTTCAACGTCAAGTAATTTACTGACACACATACTTGCCGTCTCGCCGTTCCCTGCTTGCACAGTCGCCTCAGGCTATCGATGGTTAGTATTTAATGTATGCATCTGAAGGGAGATGAATCACTTACCTTGGGTTGAGAAGATACAAAAAGCTCCGCCCAAGCCTGGAGCTCAGGCATTTTGCTTTTGAGATATTCAATGGCATGTGGAATCTGTATCTTGATGGTATAGAGGTCCTCAACATGCATGGTAGCGACACTCTCAATCACTTCCTCCAGCCATTCACTATCCCATCTGTTCGCAACCAGCGCTTGTTGAAAGATCTCATGCAGAAGAGTACCATACACCATTGGAGGGGCAGCATCACCGGTAGCCTTGACTCTATCTTGAAGTACAGCTCGTCGAGTACAGCCAAAGGAATCAGCAACAACGGTAGCTGATACAAGATGATCGGGGTGAAGAATCAACATATTCTTCTCATCGTCGATGATGCATTGTGACTTATGGAAAGAACCAATGACATGGACATAGGCTTTGACAGTAACAGGAGTATGTTGCCAATCGCCACGAAGATTGACGAATACGGTAGTTTTGGTGTTTTCAACCTCGAGGAAGAGAATCTAGAGAGGTTAGCATTCTGTATTTTGTGGATGGTAAAAACCAACCTTTTCATCACACCAACGTTCTTTAGCATTCTGATATTTAGAGAGTGTTATGGCGTTGACTAGATATCTTTGGATTGCCTGTACTTTTCGTGTGGTCTACAATAATCTTAGCTTATGTTGGTGCTATATATTGCTACGAATATCTTGTACGTACAGGTATCAACCCTCTAGCAGATTTTGGTATAGACTGGGTAGCAGCTACCGCAGCTTCAAAATCATCAACGTCGAGATCGCCATCTCCAAACTCATCATCAGAGTCTGCATTTGATACCTGTGGCGCAGCTTTCTGATTTCTAGATACGCTTGGCAACTGGAGCTTCTTCACTGGAGAACGTCTATCAAATTGAGACACCACCTGCTCCAAATCCCCAAAATCATCATCATCAAATTCATCAAAGTCTCCAAAGTCATCCGCTTCTGCTTTCCTCTTATTCGACGGTGTGACATGCTCTGGTTTTGGAGTTGATGCGGACTTCTTTGGTAGACTTGGGGGTTGAGGTGGTGGACCTGGACGCACATATAAAGATTTTGGTTGAATATTTGATGTTTTCTGAAAGGATTGTGATTCCAGTGTCTCCAGAAGACCGGCATCAAGGTCGTCGTCATCAAATTCGTCACCGTAATCAGATTCAGGTTTCACTGATTCTTCTCTCTGGTAAATTTCCTCTGCAACAACTTCTTTCTGGTGTTCTTTATAGGATGATGAGCCACGGCCTTCCTTTTGAAGCTTTGGCGAGTTGCGGTCAACGATTAATATACCTTTCTTATACGACGCGCGAGAAGGACTCGATCGTTTTGGGGATTTGCTCTCACAGAAAGGGTCTCTTGGTTGGGACATACTTTCCTGAACTCGTTCGATCAAAACCGATAATTTTGAAGGACCGATATTAACAGGTTCTGTGAAAACATCGCCATCGGAAGCCCCAATTTTCCGACGCTTGGGAAATTGAGTTCCACAACTATTTGCTCTTCGAAATCCTGCAACTCCTCGTGGTGTATTGCCATTCCGAGAAGGTTGGGGAGAGGAGTTTTCCATGATATGTGCTAGCGCAGGTACGGTATGGTCCTGGGGTGTTGTGGAATTTGCCCCATTCAGCGAGTAGCGTCCCCATAATTCAGATCCAGGGTCGACTTGAAGATTATCATTTCTAAAATATGGTGGTGCTGGTGAGGATGCCGGAGGTGAAGAACTTCTAGCTCTCTTCTTTGCCCTTCGCAGCCTAAAAGGCGTTGTCATAGGCGGGGAATCGTCATCATGTTTCCACTCTATTCGATCCTCTGGAGATACATTCTTTTGCACGGCTCTCTGTACATCGCTCATTCCTATCAATTCAGGCAATGCCAATCTATTCGCGGGGGTTCTTGGGACATCGCGCTTTGGTGGTTCGGGAAGTGAAGGTTGTTCATGTGTAGGAGTTTTCGCTTTCTCGGGGGAATCTTTTCGTGGAGAGCTTTTGTTGAGTGTTCCAAAACTGGCCTCAGAGTTTTCCTTGTCGTCATCGGAAAGCAAGCTTATAATGATTGGTTCCTTGAGGTCTGGTTTTTGCCCAGTGAATTGAAAGTTGCTGAGTTTATTCTTTGTAGCCGTAGAAACAGGGACTTGAGGCTTTTCTTGTAGAGGTTTGGATGGAGGGTTCTTGGCTTTCTGCGGGCCTTGGTAGCTCTTATTTCGGGCCCATTGTGATCGGTTCTGTGGTTGCTGCTGTTACGCGCAGATGGTTAGTGATGAATTTCCATGGGGAACACAAACCGATTCTTGCCTTATTAGAGTGGTTCTGGTCGGAGAATGACTTTTGAAGAGGCATATTTCCCTTGGCAAGGCCAGCACAGCAGGTATGAGAGATGATGAGGGGATTTGTGCTGGTGTGTGCTGGTGGGATTAGTGGTGGTGGTGGTGGTTTGCAGTCATAACAATGCTGCAGTTCAAGTAGCACTCTAGGACTTTACATGTCCAAGTGCCCCCTGCCTTCTCAGGAATACAGAGAGACGCGACGCGTTAAGGGCAAGGCTGGCTGGGCAGCCACTCCCCACGGTGTTGCAGCCACAGCCACAGCGACATTGTAACCCCAGCGCTGTCAGTCTACATCCCACCTGCTGATTCTGGCCGATCTGATGCCGCTGGCCCCACTAAATAAACTAGATATTAGCCGAGACAACCCGACGGGTCCAGCCGGGAGGGAGGTGCTTGGGCCCCACCAGATTTTCGATTTTCGCCTGCAAGCTTCAGAACCTCGGGACCTATCCCTGCAATAATTTTGGAGATCACTTGGTAGCAAGTTGGTGTGTTGGTTTTTCTATGAATCTTATCCTCATCCTCCCCACTACTCCAGCACACATTCCTGCAATTGCTTTTCCCCGCACCTCAACACCATCCTACACTGTAAGTCAACGTGCCGGCTTTTGGATGCATTGTATGCATGTGGTCCATCCACTTTCTGCAAATCTCACACTTGGCTATTTCTCCCTGCTAACCATCTGACAACACAGACCATACCCCACCATGTCGTCCAACGCCAAACCTTTGCCTTTCCAATACCAATTCGGCGCTGGTATGACAACCTCCAATCCTGTTCTTGTGTCTGGGTTGAAGTTAACAAACATGTGTAGGTGCTGTGGCCGGGATCTCTGAAGTGAGTCTGCTACTATTGTTTTGAAAAATTCCGAGAGAAGAGAAATGTTGGCTAAATGGCGCCATTTCTAGATCCTGGTTATGTACGTTTCCCATGCTCAAACTTGAAAAAACTCTAGAATCTAGCTAATTCCTTCAAAAGGTACCCATTGGATGTCATCAAGACTCGAATGTAAGCTTTATCGTCAAGTCCCTCGCATCCGACGCCGAACCCGATGTTGACGAACCTGCAGACAATTACAAACTGGCACTGCAACTGGCGCAGATAGATATAATGGCATGTTAGATTGCTTCCGAAAGATTCTAAAGAATGAAGGGTACGTTGGAAAATATCGATTGGAAACTTCGACTGATCGCAGGCAAGTGTTGGCCGATTTTATCGTGGTATCGAAGCTCCCATTTTGATGGAGGCGCCGAAGCGAGCAATCAAATTCGCAGCCAATGACTCGTTTGGTAAAATGTACCGAGATCTATTTGGCGTAAATAAAATGAACCAGTCGCTCTCAGTCTTGACCGGTGCTAGTGCTGGAGGTCTCGAAACGTTCGTTGTGGTACCCTTTGAGCTGGTCAAAATTCGTCTTCAAGACAAATCTTCCGCTTCCAAATACAGTTCCACATTTGATGCACTTAAAAAGATTGTCAAAGCTGAGGGTGTTCTTGCCTTATACAATGGATTTGAGAGTACTATGTGGAGGCACGTCATATGGAACGCAGGCTATTTCGGTTCGATTTTCCAAGTTCGCGAGCTCCTCCCCAAGACCGACAACAAATCCACCCAGATGGGCTTCGACATGATCTCTGGTGCGGCTGGAGGAATCTGTGGTACAGCACTCAACACACCAATGGATGTGGTCAAGTCACGTATTCAAAACAGTCCCAAAATCGATGGCGCAGTACCAAAATACAACTGGGCTTTCCCAGCTTGTAAAACCATCCTCAAAGAAGAGGGATTCCTAGCATTATACAAAGGATTTGGACCCAAAGTCTTAAGACTAGGACCTGGTGGAGGCATCTTACTCGTTGTCTACACCGGCGTCATGGACTTTTTCCGCAAGTGGAGAGGCGATGTATAAAGCCTGTTCATGGGCGAAAAGACATCTGACAGAAATATTGCGATACTGGAGCTCCTTGCTTTCAAGTATGAAGAGAGAGCCATTTGTACATTCTAGAGGCGCGACTATGCATTCCTGGGACGGGCGTCTTGCATCTAACGGAGGAATTTCCACGGGATCTACTAGACGCTCGAATGGAATAGAGCACGGTACTTGGATACGGGTTCGGACTCCACTAAGTACCTGGGCGGAGAAGAGAGCGAGTATCAAATACCATATCAATTCCAGTTCTGAATTTACATCCTTGGTTGTGCTTGTTTGTGCAGTGATTCCCATTTATTGATACTGTTTTATTGTGACGTGATATGTTCCCTTGTGTAGTATTACTGTCTTGCCAGTCAACTGATAGATACCACAAACAATGTGGCTCGTGATGTGTTGCACTGCTTGTGGTGGGTCATGGGTTGGTGGTACTTGCAATGATGCACAATTACACCAGGGGATGTTATATGTAGGTGGATGATTGCCTGTAAACATATCCAAGACTGATTTGGGATAATATCTGGAGTTCTCAGCCACTTGGGTTTCTGTTGAGTTTGAGGAATTTGTATAGTGACTTTTCTGGGTTACCATATTGTTCTTTATCTACATAGAAATTTTGAAAAAGCTAAGTACTTTCTACATCACTGAGTCTGTAGTATTAAGGTGTCACAAAAGCGTCCAGAAGTTCGCTCACTGCTGCTATACCCTCTTTCCCTTCTCCATGTAAATTTTCTGACTTTTGATTTGCAAAAGCACGAGGATAACAAAGTCGCACTGTGGTCTGGTACAGTACTTAATATTTTGAAAAAGTCCTTTCCTGTGTGGCTTCATGGATAATGATTATCTTGCTTCATGGTCTTACTGACGTTAACCCCGCATAAAACCACTCTGGCGCTTAGCAGACATCCAATACTCTGACAGATTCTCAAGTGGAGACCCCTTCGCACGAGCATGTCAACTCAGCTCCAAATATTCAAAGACAAACTGCCCAGAAATCATTTCTCTGGTTACATGAAACAAGCTAAATTCAAGGTTCCATGAAAGACTAGTTATTCGCTTGGGAGAAGGAGACCTCATGGAGACCTCATGGAGACCGACACGTGATTGTTGGGTACAATCACAACCCAAATTGTGTCTGAATCATTCAGAAAATTGGTGAGATGTTATGTAAAGAGTCAATCTCCTTTTCGTCAAAATTTGAACGTAAAATAATTTGGTTAATCATTTTGAAGGTAAGGTCTTTACCCGTGCGGCTATCTTGGACCCGTGGCTTAGCGCTTCCTGTCGGTCTGCATCAACAACACACCTCTTTCCACCCATCCATCCACCTTTCCCTCCTCTCCTCCCACAACAACACCCACCGATCAATCCCAAATTTTCCAGACCGACCTCAACCTGCTCTTCTTCGCTCTCGAGCCGACAGCTTTCAATACCAAGAACACCTCTTCAAAAACAAATCACTCACACATACGTAAGTCCATCTCTATCTCTAATCGGCGCATGTCGCATTGTCTGTCGCGGACGCGACTGGAATGCGCCGACTCGTCGCAAACTCCCACCACGCACAATTTTTACTCATTCATTTGCAGGATAACATGGCTCGCGAGGGTACCCGATCCGCTACTGGTCAGTAACCTTTATATCCTCTTGTCGCTATCGCTGCGCTTTTGCGAAGCTCAGCGCGTATACCACGTCTTGCGAAGCTATACTGAACTTCCCCGCAGGCAACAGCCGACCTCGTGTCTTTCCAACAATCCCAGAGCCAACAGTAAAGAAGACAACCGCCAATAGTGGCGCAAAGAGAGGTCCCAAGAAGGTTACCACCAAGGGCGTGAAGCCAGTAGGTGTTACCAAGAAGGCCCCGGCTGCGAAGAAGCCCTCTGTCGGTACTAAGGTTTGTGGAAGCTATCTCTGACTTCTTTTGAGCTTTTCTAACCGAACTTCTAGGCAAAGGGTGCAGTCAAGAAGGTTGAAGGTGCAATCACTGGCAATGCGGCCAAGAAGGTACGTTTACAAATATTCTTTTGTTGTGGGAGCTGCCCTTGGTCTCGACGCGTCGAGTACCCATGTCAAAGCGATGTTCCGAAACAAGTTGTTTCAACATCCTTCTCGAGCACAGCAAGAAATCCATGCAGACCTTCCTTGCTATTCTTGTTTCTCCAAGTTCCCGAGTCCATATTCCTGTCGTCGCCATCTTTCACATATCAACTTCTCTTTGGAGCAAAATTGCTGACACTATGTCTCTCCAGGCTGCAGGCACTAAGAAGATGAATGGGACTGATGTCGCAGCTGGCAAGAAGGCAGCTGTTACTAAGAAGAAGAAGTAAACGTCTAGGATTTTACGTTATCTCTTCTACATTGAAGACATGCCTTCGCCAAACAGAGTCGATTTCATGTTGTGTTGTCTTTGTTTCACTAGACACTGACTGCTCATGTCCACCATAACCTTCAATCTTCTCATGTTTCAACTTGCTCTTCGCAAATGAACAGATACGATACATGACAGGCGTTTCTGGGGCGTTTTCTGCGGTTGCTAGTCTTGACTTTTGCTTCTAGGTCGGGCTGGCTGGGATGGATATCATGGATTCTTTTGTTTCATTTTCAATTTTCACTTTTCCCACCAAAGGGAAGGAATACACCATTGTAATACACCATTCCTGTTCTTCTCTTTTCTCTTTTCTGTAGGGGGAGGATCCTGTCTTTGCTCTACGACTTGATTTCAAAACAGGATTTTCGCACACGTGTGTCTATTCCTTTGGATTTCATCTCGTTTTGTTATTACGCTGGACTGGCTGCTTGGTGGTAGAGCTTGGTTTTGTTTGTTAATAGTTCTTTTTTCTTCAAACCTGGATGTGGAAATGTTGGACCTTGGACCTTGGGATCGCTTTGGGTCGGTCGGGAGGAAATCGTACATTACATTCTTGATGAGGCTGTTACATACAATGCTATACTTTGAAAAGATGAGTTTGTGTGTGTGTGTGTGTGTTTCGATGTTCTGAATGTGATGTTGGGATGTTTGTTTGTGGTGGTGTGGTGTGATTGTGATGTTTGTTTGTGCTGAAAGGGGGGTTGCCATAGACACTGACTGGTCAACGCTATTCATCTCATTACGTTACGTCGCTGGTAAGATCTTACTTACCCTCTCTCTCCCAACTCAACTCAACTCAACTCAACTCAACTCCTCTGGGGGTATTAGCTGACTGACGGACGTGAGTAGAGGGTGTGGTAGCTAGGATTGGATGGGGTTGGGAATGGTGTTGTATGAGGTGGGATAGATGGGAAATTAGGCTGGGTTTTATTTGTGGTGGTGGTGTGGAGGAGGTCCTTTTTTATATGTGAGTACTAGGCAGGGTGTGATAAGAAAGGATAGGTGGTGCGAAGTAGATGGGTAACTAACTAACCAACTGTTTTTCTTTCTAGTTATGAACTTAACTCATTGAGGTAATACTGTGCTTAGCAACATGTACTGTAAGATTAATATTACGAGGAATTTTAATCAAGGCCATGGGATAACTTGATAAGAGAACCTCTTAACCTCATGGACGTCAACTTCATGACTCCCCGGTGAGGTGTGGTGTGATCTTACATTCCTAATCTCTTAACTAAGCTCAGAACTATCGTTGCAAGTCACTGTACTTGGTCGCAGTCAACTCTGGTGTAATACTACCGTTTTATTCCTCAGTACGAGTATTCTTGTTTTGATATTTTGGCTGGTTTGGCACTGGCACTAGTACCTTTCTATTCTCTACTAGCACCCGTGGTGAGGGATATAATTGACTCTTCTTCTTCTTACTTTCCTTTTTGAGAAATAACGTAGTGTAGGGGGCTAGAGATGACAATAGAAAATGCTTTTTTGTCATCACCCCAAGGCTGGCCCATCTCCATCTCACGCCCTACCTCCCCATCTTCAAATCAGCAACAAGCACCATCTCCTCACCCTCCTTGTCCCCCTCCCCATTTCCCTCCCCGTCCTTCCCCTCGCCTTGGATATCAAAAAAAGGCCCAATCCCCACCCCAACAACCCTGCTGT